TTGCCTCGGCCCGCAGAGAAACTAGACTGGGGAACCAGGCTGAGGACACGACGCAAGTCACGTTCCACGGGGGAAACAGGTTCGCTCCCAGATCTGGGGAGCTCCTGCACCGGCAGACGCACTGCATTCACTACACCCGGAAAGACTTCAAAAAGCCACTCGGAGGGCAACCGTGATCTCCCTCAGTGCACCCCAACCCTGTCTGTTTCCACGAAAATTTCAGGCATTAAATATCCACCCCCATCATTCGGTGGATACACTTGCAATCTCCAAAACTGGCCAAGGTGCATACTTATCTGGAGGACATCAGGAATAAACATAGAGTTTATTCTACCGCTAGTCTACTGTAGATTCTTTTGAGAGGAGAAAAGTTAAGAGAGAGGGAGAAAAAGAAAACAACACCAAAAACTAAGGCAGACGGACTAGGCTTGTTTTTTCAGGGCTTAATTCTAGAGGAGTCAGAGAGATCTTAAATGAAAAGCTCCCCAAAGCCTCCTTTTCTAGATTTTAACACCGAGCTCGGAATCTTTCAGCATCTCTCCTCCCCTCTCTAGCTTGCTTTCGAGAGCCCCCTGCAGCTGTGTCTTCAAATGAAAGCCAGTCGCCTCTCATTTATTTACAAGAACACAAAAGACAACAAGGGCCAGGGTGGAGATGGAAAGACAGTTGGAGGGGAAAGCACTTTCTTTGAATCTTGTCCAGAGACAAATTTGCATGCGAATGAAAACACTGTATTGTCAACCACTGCTGGGCAGGAGGTCTGGGATCTTCCCGGCTTTCCCCTGTGGGAGGAGAAAGGTTTTTGAGAGCCTGCTGGTGTGAAAAGTGGCCAGGACCCTACACAGAATGAGAGGAAAGCTGGGGAGGAAGGTGTTGAAATAAGGGGTGCCTGTCTGGTGGGAAGAGGAGAGGCGAGGGGGGTGGGGGAGGCCCCCCACTAAAGGTTTCAGTTATCCCTGTCCCCTGTCTGGGCGAGGCACCTCCAAAGGGGAGGCTGGCACTTGTCACATACACAGCACTCCAGATTTTCACTGGGACATCAGAACCAAGGGAAGACCTGAGGCTTTCAATGAGCAAGAGCAAAATCCTCTACCAGCAGTGTGCGGTGAGAAGGACACAGGACATTTGTTGAAAGACTTACACTGTGCAGGGTGTGTGCTAACTTGTTTATGTTATAGGTATATAGGATGTGTACATTTAATACATTTTAATACATGGGTTGGATGTTTTAATCCACACCGCAATTACTCTGAGCTTAGCGGTAGGAGTGAAAACAGAATGCCATCACCACGATTTTGTCCCTTGAAATGTCTCCAGCGATTAGAACAGCTGAAACTACAGGAATTTTTATTGGGGAATGAAGGAAAGAGTGGTTAATAAAACCGACTCAAAGGCGTTGGCGATGAGGGCTTTCATGCTCAGAGGATGTGAACAGCTGGGCAGAACCTGTGTGCTCCCCATAAGCCTCAGGGAAGTGGTCCAGCACCATCTAGAAAAGCTCAGAGTTCCTCTCCAACACAAGTTGTCAGCACAAAACAGAAATCTGGGTTTCTCAAATTTGGTTAGCTTACCTATATCTCCATCAATCTATAGATACCCATAACTATCTCTGTATCTTTATATTTCCTATCTATCTATCTATCCTCAACACATTACATAGCTCAGCCATTTAGTTCTGAATCTCTGAAGACAGGACCCAAGCAGGAGGCTTTCTGGACCCTCACCAGGTAATCGCAATGTACAACCAAGTAAGACAAGAACATGAGAGAAACAGTTGTCTCTAGAGCAGTGGTTTTCAGAAAGTTACCTGAGCCCCAGCAGCAGGTTCACCCTACCTTAACCTAAACAGAACCTCTTGGGGAAGGGCCCGGATGTGGGTTTCAAAAAGCTTTCCAGGTGACCTTGGTGTTCCCCAAAGTTTTTGAGCCACTGGTAGAAGAGACTGGTTCAGGAGGTGTCAAGTGGGCTGGGGGTTTGTTTCTGACAGGCTCGCATGGGACAGATGCTAGTGGTCCAAGTACTGCGCTAAACTAAAGACCTTTCTGTTTATTAACTCTACTAGTACTCCCTAAGGACTGTGGCCTTGGCAACATTTAGCTGTGCAAGGGCCGGGGATTTAGCTCAGTGGTTCCAGTGCCTGCCTCACAAGCACAAGGGCCTGAGTTCGATCCCTAGTACCAAAAAAAAAAAAAAAAACCAAAAAAAACCCAAAAAAAAAACATTAGCCTTGCAGAACCCAGCAGGCAAGCTATGGAAAGCACCAACAGACATTTCTGGAAAGAAGGAAAGAACCAAGGGGTGCTCCCTGATTACAACAAAGTCAACTTCTTACAGTGGCTTGGGCATATAGCATTAATAATCACTTTATAATGCATTAATGATGCCATTACCAAATAAAATATTTCTATCAAATAAATGCTAATTTAAATGACTGACTTAGTTAATAACTTAGTAGTGAACCACTCTAAAGTAAGAACCATAGTAAATCAGTACTCCTTCTGATATGAAATATAGGAATGACCTATGTCTGAGGAAAGTCTTGGATAACCTTTGCATGTGCTTTCTCTTTCAGTCCACTGGGACTTCTGGTCATGCAGCGGCACCTCCACTGGGTGAGCCTCTGGCTTCCTCCAGTGGTCTTCAAAGCTGTAGAAGTTTTGAGAAGCATCACACTAACTTCAGATATTTTGACAAGTGATGGTGACCAATCCAAAAATCTTTCCAGTACTGTGAGATTAATTGAAAGATCTTGGTAATATTTTGCCAGTGTTTTTTGTTTTTACCATGGACAAAGAGCAAAAAAAAAAAAAGCAATGAAAACTTACATACTCTTTAGTACTATAAGGGGGATTATTCACTCTGTGTTAAAATGCAACTCTAAAAATACCTCCTGAATCCATTTGTCTAAAAAGTTACTATATATGAAAGAGCTGGCCTGCGGTGCAGACACACTGGTTAGGCACAGGACAGCAGAGCCCATAGATTTACCACTTCACAGGACCTGTTCTTAGATCCTCGTTCCAGCATGGCCACCTCTGGACAAACAGGCCTACTGAGTACTCATTGACATGTGTGCAGCTAGTCAACCGAGTAACTACATTTCAGCGCCCACTTAGTTTTGATGAACTTAAAGTCACCGAGCCACTTGTGGCTAGTGGCCATCTTATTGGACTGTCCAGCTGTGTACTCCTGGCTGGCGTTTACAGTGAAGAATGTACCAGTGCCTAACCCATATGCCAATGGCTTCTACAGGAATCAGTGTGAAATACGGTCTTTGAAATGTGTTTTGTCACATCATTTGGACAAAAACAGTAATTTTTTGGGAGAAATTTCCACTTGTGCATTTCTGTTTCTTGTTATTATGTACCTTTGAGTCTGCTGCACAATTCACAGAACAGTTTATTATTACCTATTGCTGGATGAGAAATAACATGAACAAATATCCACATGTAGAATTTCATCTACTTACTTTCATGAAGTCTTAATTCTACCTTAAAACTGTACTGATACAATATAATCATACATCTAATTTTAAAGGTAAATTTCAGACTGTCACTCATTTAAAGAATACTGTACATTCTTGCCCTAGGGAGTTTGGGAATGTGTGTGCATATATAAAATGAGAATTAAAATGAATTCATTATGTATCAGGGCTCCTTTAAAAATAATGATATGAACATTTGTAGAACTACTTGGAGCACACTGGGCACCAGTGCTACTCTTGGTCACACAGTCAGGGCTACTGCAGGGACACTGCCTGTGGGTGCCTTCAGTCTCAGCCCAGAGAGACTACGCCATCTTTCCCACGCCTTTGAAACAGAGATCCATCTCTGAAACGGACAAGGAAGCAAAACACTCAGAGACAAGCAACCCCCTTGTGCAGATGCTCTAAGTGCTTATCCACAGACCACGTTTGAGCACTTTCCACATAGCTCTGTTTTCAACATAGTCCTGCTTGGCACAGTGGGAAATTCACCAAGAAAAATATGAAATATGAATTCATCGAATCTCTTAAAAGTCAAATACGATACAAGCTCAGGTGAGGTGAGAGTTCGGATCTAATACAGTTGTCACTTTTGTATTCTGTGTGTACCTATTTGTGTGCATAGAATATTTAGTGGTACATTGAGGACGCTGGTGTAATTGCCCTGGGATTGTTTAAGGGCAGGATGTATTTTCAAGGTGTAGTAGAAAACTGAAATGGGAAGTCAGGCAATGCATGCATATATTATTCCCAATAGCCCTTAACTAAGAGTGCTTAAGCGTACACATACTCACAACTCAAAAAGCCACTGACAAGTGCTGGCTGGATCTGAGGTGCAGTAAGAGGGGTGCTCCCAAGAGCTCTCCACAGTTCTCTTCCATGGAGCATTTTGCTCTGACTTTGTTCTGGAGCTCCATGATGTGTACAGCCTACTCTCCAGCTCACAAACACGACGCTGTCGTTTTTTGGGGAAGAATGAGCTGAAGCCCTGAAAATATGGAGCTCTTGCAATGGAGAATGGCTTTGGTCTCAATACTAAACACAGCTGCTTCCTGATCTGCACACGGCTCTTACACAAAGAGAAGAGAGACGGCAGAGAGGTCATAAGGGGAAAATTTTTGAAACCTAGAAACTTATTTAATCTTCATTCTTTGGAGATCTGATGGCTGCTGGCAATGATGAAAACAAAACAAAGCAAAAGAAGGAAATGAGGAAAAAAAACCCCAACACCTGCAGCCAGTTATTAAGAGATCTGACAGCCAGTAATCTCTAAGGAATCTTGACTTCCAATCACATGTAAGCTGTGTCACCGAGAAAAGCCACAGTGTCTAAAGCAGACTCGCTTTACAGGCAGCCCTTGTAGAAACAGTTAGATCTTCCAAGTTTCCTGAAGTGGTCGGCACGGCCCCAGCTCCATGACAGGAGAGATCCTCTCCCGGAATGCTCTGCAGCCAGGCCCACGATATCAGAAAGGAGAGCTGGTGTCCCTGGTTGGTGGCTTCCCAGAGGCTTGCTTAATGGCTTGTGATCAGCATTCTGCCCTTCCATTTACTGTATTCATCCCTTCCCGTTTTCCTGTGGCTGCAGGAGACTGGCAACCCTCTCACTAATGGTGTCCCCACTGCAGGGAGCACTGGCCAGTGGGGAATGAGGTCACTGTGGGGCTGAAGTGCTCCTGTTGGGCAGAGGGCACGAGAGGAAAAGCTCCAGGGCACACTCCAAAGGCAGGCAGAGCATGCAGGCTCGGGCCCTGGGCTGAGTGCGGGAGGGGTGCCACTGACATTTCGGGGGGCCGTCTCAACACAGAGAGGGTGAAGTGGTGACAAAGTGGGGAGGGAGGTGAGAGAGTGGAGGAAATGTACTCTGCCAAGGGTTCCGGAGGCCAGAACAGACTGTGAGTACTCGAAGGACATTACGAAGATGTCTTGGGAGATGTTGGTTTCTGACTGAGAACAGCCTAGTAATGGGACTCTGTGCTGAATCGCTGAGGAACCACTGTGCTTTTGTAAATTAAATTTGTCTAGAGCATCATGACTGCACAACAACATGGACAAAACCACTTATCCTCGCGACTGAGACGCCACCAGAAGTAATCACCAACTCCAAAATGCAAAGAATCTTATTCAGGTAAGATGCAAAATGTTCCTATAGTTATGTAATGCAATTAAACTAAATCTACATCTCAAATAAATTGCATTCCCTGAACTTACACCCTGGGATGCAGTACCTTTGCACAACTACCAAGGCTCACAAGGTTTTGATTAACTTCTTTTTGTGGTTGCTTCAAAAGGAACTTCACTTATTGATTAAAAAGGTAGAAACGGTACTGTGAGTAAGGTTTGATTTCAGAACTAGTCAAATAAAGCCATTAGTCACTTGTCTCACTGAAAAGAGACGGTTTATATGCAAAGTTCCCCTTCTTCCCTGAAGTCATTCAGTACTGCTTGAGATTGTCCTGGGCAGTGAGGAAAGGAGGGCTGGGAGTCCAGCCCAATGAAAAGTGGTACCCAGGACCAGCACAGTTCAGTAACTGAACGAGGCACTGGGAGGGATTTCTTTTCCTCAAAGGAGAAAAATCTCAATTAGAAAGGCAATAAGGAACTACCTCAGGGATAAAGATGGAGACCATATTCACTTCTCCCTGTTTGCCCAAGGCAAAGGAAGGAGTAGGAGGGGGTCTGAGTGGAGAGAACTTTGCAAATCATAGTCTCCTCATATTGTCCCTGCCAGTATGAGGGGGCAGCACTATAATCACTTCCCCAGTTGTCTATATCACTAGTACAGATGTGATGGTATAGATATTTGCATTTTTAGAAATCTATTTTTCCTTTTAATGTCCCTTTAGTAAAAAACTGATAAGGGGCATCACCAATAAATACTCTGAAAGTTGTTTCATATGGGCCCTTCCATGATCTCCCAGTGGAAAAAAATAGAGAAAAAAGTTAAATGAGTGACAAAAAGGATGTTATACAAATTCATTTTAAGGAATCCATAAAGAGAGGTTTCTTGATGCTGTGTCTTTCTTAAAACCTATGTGAGCACTGGCAAAGAACTACAAAAATTTTTATTTCATCCAAAGGCTCACTTAGTATAACTTTAATAATCAAAATATTTGCTCAGAACAGGAAACATTATAGGAAAGCACGGACACACCCTCTTCGCAATGAGAAACATTTCAGTTGTTTAAACTAAATACACTGGAAAGAGAAAGTAGAAGAGTAAGTTTTAAAGATAAGTGAAGCATAGGAATTAGCTATAGACAATCATCGTAAAGCTCCTAAAAACAAATATTTTGCCAGTCGCCCACAAATATGCCATGAAAAATATGTAACAGATCAGGATTTCTGCTCTAAATGCTACATAATACATGCCTTCTATAGGGAATATATCTGTGCAATTTTGTTTTCCAAATTTACAGTGATTTTTCTCTCGAAAATATTAACTAAAGCGCCGTTAGGGTGGTTGTCTCTGTCTCCCTTTCCAGTCTACCGTCATGGGAACTCACTGGAGGGTGATCACGGGGAGCTCTCTCCCCTGCACCATATGGGACGCTGCAGTGCACCTCACTACCTTCGCACAGTCTCCTCTCCCTCGCCCTTCGCATTTGCCCAGTGGGACCGCACAGAAGGTTCTAACATTCCAACAACGAACACACCGGCCTCTGGCAGAAGTGAGCTGATGTTGTATTTATACCTGTGACATGGCCTAAATGAAGACTTTTAAGACACAAAATTCAGCACAACATTCAATAGACAGTCAAGATAAAAAAGAAACGGCAATTTTTTTTCTCAAAAAATCTTCCTGCTTTTCTAGAATACCCAGTGGTGCAGAAGTTTATTTCGCAGAACATTCGTACAATTTTCACTTCCCAGAGCTTGCAGGATGTTTTTCTAAGAATACAATTATGCACACAGTTCTGGTCTTCCAGAGAACATGCCGATGGTATCAAAATCTTATGCTTCCTTACCACCTTGCCAGCGTTTCATCTACAGATGTGTACTTGGATATTTCTCATACACTTTTGAGGGACAAACTGCTTGGTGAGACTGCTTCCTGTTCAGATGTGCAGTGAAACCCACCTTTGTGCAGGGGCTTCCCCATGAGTGAACTCATATATCCAGTATTTCCCAGACTCTTTAGGTACAAGTGGACAAAATCTGGGGGAAAGCTAGCTTATGTGTCCTCTATCCCACTCAGAACCTGTGCAGAATAATTATCAATAATCTGGCTGGCACTAGAGGAACCTGAGGAACATTTGGTCAACCCTGGGCCAGTTACTGGGATGCAGAGCTGAATTCTGCATGGTTATGGCTCTTCCATCCCATTGCATTAATGGGGTGAAACAAACCTGTATGCAGTTAACTACAGGACATGGTATGTGAAGTGAAAGAATGGCGCTTTTAGTGCATGAGGCAGGTCACGTTGCTCCTTTCTTCAAAATTCTCCGTGGGCTCCTTGCTTCATTTTGAGTTAAAGAAAAGATCTCCCCACAATGACCAACTTGGTCTCCCGACACCTTGCAGACTCCGGTACCATGCCCTTGCCATCCTGGCCCCCTTGCTGTTCTGTCAACCAGCCAAGGTGCCCTCTATGGGAGCCAATGCACTTGCCGGTATCTAGTCTTGTAGCTCCTTGTTTATCACGTCTTTGTCCCAAAGTCTCCTTCATGAGGCCCCAAATCATGTGTGCCTCATCTTGCCCTTTGAATCCTGCTTATCCTATTCTTTGTCTGTTTCTTTCCCAGAGAATCTACCATCTTCAACTATACTATGCAATGCAATTATTCACCGTGCTGATTTTCTGGGTTTCTGTGCTTGCTGTCTTAAAGAGGGAAATCCTGTGCATTTTCTTTCCTATTTCATCCCAAGCACACAGCTTCATAGCATTCACGGCCATACAATAAATATCCTGACTGCATCAAAGAAGAACTCAGAGTTACAGAAACATGACTGGAAGAGCAACTGCATTTTGATGGGGGATCCTGAGAAGAGCCAGCATTCTAATAATCTACACAGCCCATTTAGAGGCTGGCATAGGGAGCTGCCACTCAGACAGACAGAAGGACAGACAGAGGAGGGGAAAGAATAACCGAACGGGTTCATGTCTTTACGTGGGAGCATCTGCGGGTCTAGCAGGAAGGGTTGCACACTTTCTCTCCTTCAACCCAGCTTCAGGAACTCATAGTAGAGCCTGAGGAGAATGAATTTTAAGGGTTTTTGTTTGTTTTGGTACCAGGGATCGAACTCAGGACCTTGCATTTGCAAGGCAGGCATCTAAACCACTGAGCTAAATCCCGACCCAATTTTAAGAGTTTTAGTGAAAGGCATCATCAGAGAAGTAATATTTTTAGGCAATTTTTTGGGACTTGCAGTTTTGTTCTGGGACTGATATGAGGGGACAATGCAGGTTATGTGTGTATCACTAGTGCTTTTTATAGAACCTGGCAATGCCATTCAATAAACAATGTTTTTGATAAACTAGAGCTTATCAGAAATTGAAATTAAAATCTTGACCATTCATGACACTTCTTTGAAATTATGTTCAGAGATGATTTGTGAGCCCGATAGAAAACCACTGGCTTTACTTGACATAACATATTTTGTAAGCAGCAAGAACAAAAATGTTTCTGTGTGGCTTGATAATTGGCCTTCTTCAATTGGCTTGGCATCTGTTAGTCATAACCTGAACTTTTTTAACTGTTACAGCACTTTATAACTACAGGATATTCTAAAAGTTAACCTGCCTTCCAAGGAAACTCTTAACATCATTGAGAGTACTGAAACGAATGTATCATGGGCTTTGAAAAACCACTCCAAGATCAGGGCAGTGGAGACATTATTACAGTGGGATGTGGACTCCCTTCTTCCGAGGGCATAACAGACAAAATGCTGGTTCACTGCTTTAACATTTCCCTGGCATCACTTTGAAGTCATAGGCCCAGCAGGATGCTCAGTAAGACACGCTTTGCAGAGTGCAGCACACAGCTGAAGACAACTGGGGTGCCAATAACCACTGCCGAACTACACAAACAGGAGTTCACACATACCGCAATGTTCTCAGTTCTTCTAGTGAGTGCAGCAGAACCACGTTTCCACTCCAGGTGTGAGCATTCCAATCTGCTCATCCTACACGTGCTTGGCGAGTCTTCTGACAAACCTCACCTCAAACTCTAGTTATAGCTCTCAGCATGTACCTTGAAACTGTAATTCTGATGATACCTGTGATATTTTTTCCCCATCTTAATGAGACTTTCCTATTAAACCCTAAGGCAGAATTTTGATATGAGGTGAAGGGACAGGCCCTCTGTCCCTCAGTGGGATGCGGTTTTCCTCTAGCTCAGCACCACAAAATAAAAAGTTACAAAGCAACTTGTGGACAAGGGTGTGGTTTGAATAAGGCAGTCACTCACCTTTCCTGAAAATATTGCCAAGATGGTGATTAAATCATTGAAATGCAATGAAAAAAATTTTAACTTAACTTTCAATAGTGTTCCCGTTGCACATATGACTGTGGTGTGGTGGCTGCCCCGGGACACTGGGACTTTCCCTGTCTCTCAACTCTTGGCAGACATGTCTCAGGGCCAAGAATTCTGCTAGGTGCCATAGACGCAGAGGCAGAAAGGTTCCATCCCCCAGCAGCTTGTGGTTTCATTGTAAGACAGGTAAACAGCAAGAAAGCAGTGCTGGGTATGGATGCGGGGGCGGTCATAGGAGCCCGTATGGGAAGTGGGGTTGGTGAAGGTTACTGGCAAAGACAATGCCCATAAAAAGCATCAGAAATGCAACTAAGCTCATCAGCCCAAAAGAGCGGCTTGTATGTTGTCAGGAACAAAAGCACAGTGACTCAAAAATGCCTCATGCCACCAAAAAGAAGTTTAAATTGGACTAAACATGAGAATTCTCCAATATATTAACTCAATTAACTATATCTTGTACCCCCAAACCATAAAAACCAAAATATTAGGCACCTATATGGGACATTTACATCTTTCTTGAAATGACTTCTAGATTAGCACTGGCTCCATTTTATCAAAAATTAATTTCAACTGCAGATAATAAATGCATGCAGTAAAACTATAAGAACAGCCGCATGGCTTAAAAAACAATTCAGGACACATTTCAAAATCAAAGCTGACAAAGTGCAACTATTTCTAAATAATCACAGTCATCTGCAGAACAGTTCTGTACCCTTCATGACACATTTATACTGTGTTCCTTGATATGGTTAACCCCAAAGAATAAATACCTTTTTTGGGGGAGAACACAATACTTAGTACTTTTCTTAGGTACACACATAAACTCAGAAGGAATGTCACACTTACATCAAACGCAGACACAGATATAGCAGCAATAGGTTCCCACTAGCATATTCCCACGCTAAACATACACCGTGTGCATGGCATGAGCAGCTGACATATTCCTGAGGACAAGGTGTTTAGCATTCAGTGTTACTCCACAATCGCATTTCAGCGCTCCTTGCCTTCTTTCACCGCTCCAAGGGGATCGCCTGTAAGTCTCAGCTGTGCCTACAGGCAGACAGGCTGCACCACTGCGTCCCTTGCTCACCCGTCCCTGTCCCCCTTGGAGCCCCTCAGACAGAAGACGGCAAAGGCACCTACCTGGCTGAAGCTCTGGCCGGCAGCCCGGGCTTGAGCGCCGCTGCGGGGTGGGAGCTGGGAGGGGGTTGTGTCACCCAGGGCCAAAGTCTGGTTGCTATGGTAGCTGGCCGGATACTGGAAAGACCCTTCAGGTTTGGAATTGAGCTGAAGTGCACTCTGGGAGAGCAGGCTGGGCCCTGCATTGAAAGTCATTTAGAGCAGTCAGTGGCAGTCTCAGTGAAGCAGAAATGACATGTATTATTTATTGAGAGTAGCCGAGAATTATCACATGCACATGATTCTAGCCATCTATGCTTTGAATTCTGAGAACTGAAATGACCACATAATTTGTCTGTAGCTCTCAAATAAGATTTTTTTTTTGGCACTTTCAAAGTTCTCAAAGGAGTAGATATTTAAAATGATCTCATCCTGACCTACATAGAGACATTTCTTAGGAGAGAAATTAGTTAATCAAGTAGTTATTTTTGGATCAGACATTATCAGGAACATGAAATAATGTAAAAGTCTACCTTGGGGGCACATGTTAATTGTGGTAATGTAATTATATCTCTCACTGGATGATCGGATGCTATGAGGCTCACAACGTCCGAATCAGGGACAGACTCTATCATATAAGTAGTGACGTGAGACCTCAGTGGCAGAAGGGTAGACAGTGTTCAAGATATCAGTCATTCTTTGTACAATGTAGACTTAGCCTGACTGCACATAATCTCTGGTGAGTAGTTACCTTTGCCACAGCAAGGCTCAGTAGAACAAAGAGAAGAACTTGAAGAGTTAAAATCAGCACTGCTAATGTGGCTGATGGTGCAGGGGAGGGCTTATAATTTCATTATACTTTACATGCGAAATTGTGTTTTGCTTTCTCATGCTCCATTTAGATGGGTGGATCCTTATCAAGTTCGCCCATTTTATTTTCATGCACATTTTCTGTTTAATATTCACACTGGGGGCTACAAGGCATACAGCGGGTGGGGGCTGGAACTCTACTTGCTGGTCCCATTGTGTATGTTCGCAGGGACCGAGGTAAGAAAGGTGAATTAGGGACACGGAAAGCCAACGAAGTAAGGTTTATGTTTCTGTGTACCATGGCGAGAGCCACCTCTGTTTTCATGGGTGATAATATGCACACAGACTGTAGTACAGCCATTAAACCATCTCGTATCTTCTTTGTTTTAGATAATGTCATTTCCATCAGTATAAACAATTTCAAGTTTTTTCTTTTTCTTTCTACAAATAGAACAAGTCTATATTTTAAATGGCACCCTAGATTTGATGCAATGTGCATCACTCTTGCATAAAAATAGTGAGTGTGTTCTCCTTTTAATAGCTTCAGGGTGAGTGATTTTTTTTTGCCATTCAAGACCTTCCCTTCCCTCTCATGCTATGCTGGTAATTCTAAACAACCCAAAGATCCTTTTCATTTTATCACTGAATATCAAATTATATGATGTTTAACTAGGTAAGACTTGCTATTTTTTTTGTTTTTGTTTTTGTTTTTTGTACAAGGGATTGAACTTGGGACCTTGCGATTGCAAGGCAGGTGGTGGAACCACTGAGCTAAATCCTCGGCCTTTAAGACTTGCTGTTTTGGAAGCAATACGGTATAGAAAAAATTCAAGCAAGGGTATAAAATTGTTTCCATCAAGCCCCAACTTCATCATGAAAGGTACAGCAAAAGCACAACTGCAATATTTTTTTCCTTTCCTTTTAAAACATACAGTCTCAAGAGAACGGTATATACCAGATGGTTACATCTCCAATAGCCTGAAAAAATCATTTAATCTATATGGACAGCTAGCTGCACGGGCCCCACCACCAGACATACGAAGACTCTGTGGAGAGAGGCCTTGGAGTTTCACTCTGGATGCCAGGAGCACACTGGCCCCACCGCTGCAGTGGGAGCTGCCAGGCAGAGCGGGGTCAGGGGTGGTCGCTACGGTTGGGGCAATGAGAAGACTGAGATATGGAAAAGACTTTAAGGCACAGAAGGAGATTCTGTTGAGGGTGGTGACACACGGGGACTCACTGGCGCGGGAGAGGAGGAAGGCAACGGGAGGGCAGCGACAAATCTGGTCCCCACAGACGCTCACATCTTAATGCAGGAGACTGAGCTACAGCAGAACAGCAAAGGCGCTTTCCGGTCAGCGGTCACCACCCCACCTGGAGACGGCGGGTTCCCGCTGCAGCTTTACTTAGCTCTTGGCTCTTTCCTGCAGGACAGGCCACCGGACACACTGGCCTGCACTAACCACACCTCCCCACGACGATGCTTCCCTCACAGGGCAACGACGGTTACAGCAGATGCCACAGAAGTGCACTGGCTGTGCAAACGTGGAGAGAACGCAGTCAAACGCAAGCTTCGCTTTCTGAGAGTTTAACCGAACGTAAAAAGAAACGCAGTTGTGTTCCTTTACTTGCCCAGTCCTCTGCCTTTCACAGAGGTGGTGCGAATTTGTTCTAGTGAACTTTCTCTAGTATGTACTTAGCAAGCTAAGTGCTTGGTGTGTGCTGCAAAGACTCACATAACTACAGCATCTGCAGAAACCTACAAATGGTTTGTGCAGGACTTTTCGATGGCAACGTAAAGACACATTTCAAAAGAATTTCAATTAAAAGATGGTTTACTTGCTCCCGAAAAATATCGTGGAACAATCACATCTGCTCCTCCTTTATGGAATCAGTTATGCATTTGATCAATACTCTGTGAAAACAAACCGAGATCGTCTGTCTCATTACTTTGCTCATTCAGCCCAAGGACTGAAGTCTAGATGCAGCCTGGCAAAGGTAACTGGCGCAACGAGCAATAATCATCATATCACAACACTGACATCACCGGCAAGGACAAAACAGTCAGGAAAATAGCCAAAACTCTCTATGCATTTCCTCCACTGCTCACTAGGTTTCAAATCAACACTATCTCTGCTCAGTTTCGGAGGCCACAGACACACGAACATCTGCCAAAGGTTAAAATTAGGGCATTTCTTAATTACTTTATAATGGAAGCCAAATTTTGCATATAGCTAACCCTCAATTAGTTTTATTAACATCACTGTGCACTGAAGTAGGACATGCAAATCTGCCAAAGATTTAAAAAAGCATTTGTAGTATGGGGGCTTTAAATTATGTATATGTATCTCTTTCTTCAGAACATTTGACTTTACCACAAGATTAGAGGTTGAATTAAGCTGCCTTCCTGAGTATATGGAGCCCCCAAGCTGGAAGATGGGCCGCGTTGGGGAAAGAGAAAGAGGCTGGGCCCTAAAATTCCACTCAGGTGAAAAAAAATGAGAACTAGAAGAGGTGGTGGAGCGTAAAGTCCTGGATGGTCACAGAGTGACCTTTTCTTTTCTGGATTTTCCTTATCACAGGAGAGACTTCAAATTTGATTCAGACTCTCAAAGGGTTTCACCCCTTTGGGTCAGAGAGAGGAGGAAAAGACAATTCTAGAGCCTGATAATGCTCAGAGCAGTCTTCTGTCCTTGGTGAGATCAAAACTCATTAGCCCTAACTTGACATACGGGAAAAACGCGGAAGAAACTATATGATTGATTCTGTTAATCCTACGAGGACATATGGAGAACAGGTTTGGAGGAAAATACCAATGTTCAGTGTCTTCACTGGCTTTCAAATGTATGAACTGATCAGAGATTGCATAGCACCTTGTGAAAAAATATTGTACTTGTATCTTTTGCATTATTCCTAAAAATGCAACTAGTGGAATACAGCGGTTAAAGTAACAGCTAGTGTCTCATACCTGGTAATCTGAGCGTGAGACACACAGATCTTTGCCTTCTATCTCCAAGTCCAGGGGTAGTCACTATTGCTCAACCCCGAGGCACTGCGTAAGTCAGGCCCATGTAACACCAGCGCTTTAAGTCTGAAAAAGACTTCCTAAGGAGAGATCCCCTTGTTTGCAGCAGAAATACTCAAGACTTGAACCGCTGCTTAGAGATCTCAGGTGTGGGCCAGGGGAAGCTTGCTCTCCAGGACTGAAAGACCAGATGCTCATTACGAAATTCTGAACCACTTATAGGACGCATCAACACAGACACCACACAATCTCTTCTGTCTCAGTGAACGCAGTCCTGTGGAGTTCCCATGGCCATGTGCACTTGTCCTGCCTGCGCAGATTTAAAGGAACCTCACCCTGAACTGATAATTCATGCCTGCTTTAGCTGAACATCTGTCTCTGCACACAGTGTTAATTAAGCCACACAGTATGTAATAGTACAGGAAAGGCCAGAGGGCTCCAACGTGGCCTTCCCAAGCTGTTAATTAAATCAGAGTCCCATTAATGGAGTGGCAGGGCATGTGTTGGGGGGAAAAAATCCAGGACCAGAAGTCAGTGGATCTTGATCCTAGTCCTTCAGGTCTATGTAGCCATGGGTGATGATGATAATGGTAACGTTGGTAACCGTGAATCTTCCTCTCCTCTCTTTCCTTCCTTTCCCTCCATCCCTTTATTTCTTTCCTTTCCCTTCCCCTCTTTCTCTTTCTCTCCCTTCCTTCTTCCTTCCTTCTCCCTCTCTTCCTCTCCCTCCCTCTCTTTTTCTCTCCCTCCACCTCCTTCTTTCTTCAAGTTTTGGTGATACTGGGAGTTGAACCAAGAGCCTCTGTACTAAGCCACACTCCCTCCCCTTTTAATTTTTACAGAGACAGAGTCTTGCTAAGTCCTTAAGTTGCCCAGCTGGATGCAAACTTGCAGTTCTCGTGCCTCAGCCTCCCAGACTGCTGGGATCACAGGCATATGCCATCATATGGCCTCCTGCTTGTTCATTCTGAGTCCTTAATGCACATCCAGGGACTGTCCTGAACAGCTGACACTGTTCAGGATGCAGTGGCTTTGATAACCTCACAGTGAGGAGGGGGCTGCCATTCTCTTCTGCTGCTGAGGGAACTCAGGGTCTCATAGTCATTAGTGGGCCTGGGGTCAGGGGCTCCAGGCCATCTGGAGAGTGAGTGTCTTTCACCACACTTCACCTTACCCCCCTGTGCACTCTTAGATTCGCCAAATACGAGCACATTCATGAGACAATGGCTGTGATGGTGGGAAAATCTAAACCGCCAGATGAATGTCAGTTATTATTATTGTCATCTACTTACTTAATTACGTAGCTACAAGCTCTGATAATAATAGAACCTTGGTTGGGATTTGCTTGTCCTGCAAATCTTATTA